CGCTCTTCAGAACGAGGGTCGGTCTCGACATTATTCGCCGCGCTCTTCAGAATGAGACAGTATTAGTAGTTCTCACACTGCTTCTTCCTGTACAATCTACAGATGTCTACATCATTAACCACATAAGTGGTTAACAAGTAACCACTGACTTCTTTATGGTCATTCCACTCTAAACCACAAAAGAAAAAATAACCTCTTCTCTGTGAGGGGATTATGGCGATTTCACTGTCACAATATAAACCAAAATCATTTTCTACAGACATTACCAGTATGCCATATCACATTATAAGATTTTATGACACACATGTATATGACACCTGTATATAAATATGGACTCAGCTGAAAAAAACCCTTACAAAACTTCTCAAGATGTGCATTGCTGGAAATATTTTTAAGTAGTTCATACTTTATGCTACCTTTTATTTTTTCCCCCATACACACCATTCCTTTCCATCAGCATGACAGCTTTCCACTGCACCTAAAATACAATTACATTCTACTCTTGTTGGCTTTGTAATGATTTCATTTCAAATTAGTGAAGAAAAAATCTCACAGCAGTTTTGCGTTTACACGTAATTTTGCTCTTCCTGTCAGAGAGGAGTCTGTCGCCTGTAATCTGTCCATCTCTCTCATGGCAGGCAGATATCAATCTGCCCTTGGGGTTGGTGTAAAAAAAGGAAAAAAACAGGAAGACCTGTTTATGCTAGTGTCTCAGCAGAAATCTACCAGATAGCAGCTCTCCACTTTCTAAAACCATTTTCAAGGATCCCCTCCCAGTGGGACAGCAGATGCTCAGAGGCAACTCACTAGGCTTCAAAGCCACACAAAGCCTAGCATTTTGTAATGGCTTAAATATCATAAATGCAACATGGCTACCTTTATACTGTACACTAACACCGGCATTTTTATGTAACTTGCAAAGGTGTTTACGCCTGAGTGTCACTGGTCACAGCTGGCTGCTGAATCACACCGATGAGCCCCATTAAGGGATGAAACATCTGTCCCTGACAGCTAAAGTTGACTTCAAAGAGGCACGGATAAAAAAAATATGCTGAGGCATGACCCTGCAGGAACACAGTCACAATCCACAATGTCATGTTTGCACCTGAATGTTTCCGTGGTTCCTTAAAGCTTTTGGGTGTCTCCGTTTGCCTCCCAGTGGATGAAGTTCTTATGAGATATGCTCCTGCAGACCGTGGTCTCGACGTATGTAAATTTATCAGTCGCAAATTTCCTTATTCACAATTCAGCCTGGCAGTGCGAGACGAAACTGACCCGCGACAAGGATCCTCCGTCGAATCTAGCTAGCAAGTGGGCTTCTCCGTGCCCCCTGCCCAAGTACCCACTACGCAGCATTTGCACCTCCGCATGGTTTGTTTTGTTTTTATATTGTAACGAATGCTCCAGCTTCTGCATCTGCAGCATTGAGAGGCACTGAGGCAGAGTGAGAATGCAGACTGGGTGTCGTTTATTTCAGCTGTTTACTCTAAGTTTGTGATTACTGTTATTTTTTACTATACAGTAGCTGATCTATGCTTTTTCCATTAACTTAAAGACAATGCATTAGTATTTTAATAATCATATAAGGGAGGGTTACTTTCAACTTTTGACCACACACATGATAGTATATTATGCAACAGTATAGAGGTGGACTTGGTTATATGGGAAGTTGGTTATTCACGAGGGTCAAGAGCCTACTGAATGTGTTTGTGAGTATTTGTGAGCCAGTCCTCTGTAGTTACATAGTTGTGAGGGCACTGTAAAATAAAACTTCTTCCAGCTTAACCTCTCAGATAGAAACATACCATTTTCCAGTTTCGGTTACTGTGGTTGAACCTGGCACTGCTCTTACATCTGCAATGATATAACTCTTCATCCTGTGGTAAAGTCAGAAAAAATGTAACTTGAGATTGCTGCCAAACTAAACTAAAAATCAGTAAATAGCATAATTACAGCCCATATTTTCAAATTTACAAATTAAAAAACTGAATGTATACAAATATCATATAATAATCCCTTATCTGATCTTGCATCAGTTTGATGGACAGATTTTAACTAAAATGTGGATTGAATATATTAGTAAAATATGCACATTTAAGAAAAAAGCTTTAAGTTTTGATGGTCAAAAATATTCGAAGACTAACATAACCTAACATCTTAAATAAAACATGCAACTGCTTAAAATTTAAAAAAGTGTCATTTTTAAAGAATTAAATCGGCGCATTTGTGCTGAAATAGTATGCCAAATAGCAATAACTAGACAAAAAAAAAACACAGCAAAAAAGTATCGGTTCTTAATCACCGATAAAAAGACACCAGGACAAAACGTTATGGGATTTTCCAACTCGGCAACCACAGAGCGTTTCAAATTCACTACTTAAATACGCCATTCGTGGCTCGTTTAATCATAACTAACACAGAACACTGAAACCGTTATTACCCGTTATTAAAGCTGTTACTGAGACCTCACACTTAAAACATTTAAAATAAATTCCACTGTCAACACTGCAAGCCTCTTTTCTAAGGGGCTTCTATCGCTTTCAGAGTCCTCCCTGAACGAAAACCATACGATATAATCTCTCTCTGGACGCAGCCGGCGCTTATAATTTTAGCTGCTAAGCAGTAAAACCTAACGGAAAAACCTTATCGAACTGGGGCTCGTAACGCACTCAGTTAAAAGGTTTTCCTCCAACCCGCCTAATTTAATTTTAAAAAGAGGTCTGCAGTCCTCGACATTGTAATAGGGCCCAATATTAATTATTAATACTTGCCTTATTTTCTCTTTTGTTGACAACACTGCGGCGTTGCTCCCGTTTATTTTTTTAAGGCAGGAAGCACGAACGAAAAACTTTATGTGCTTCGTAAACTTCACTCGTGAACTTGAAGACGGCCGTTAACGGACAGCGTTTGAAAATGGCGATTCCCGCCAAGGCCTCTCGCGACTGGCGGTTGTACGTTTTTCTTCCACACCCTCGAGGGCGTTCGGTCACATGACGCGATGTAACCAATGGCGACAGCGACTGGACTGTGGTCGCCCTAAGCCCCTCCTCCAAGTCCGCCCGGCTGCGGTGTAGCTCAAGTGTTGACGTCAGCCGCTGGTCGCAGGGCTCGGGGTCTGTAAATGGCAGATGCGTCTTTTCCGGCGGTTAGGGGCATGTCGGCAGTTCACTGTGGAAAGAATGCGTCGTTCTCTGTTCGTGGTTTGATGAAATTGAATTCCGTCCCGTCTCTCCCTGCACAACAGTGGTGTCCCTGTATGTGGAGCAGGCTCGACTCCAAACGGGCGAAGTACGCTAAGGAAATCTTCGCAAGCCCGCTCTCTGTTTATTCAAAGCTGTGCCCTGCTAAAAACATTTCAGCTCGCCTGTCCCAGTTCAATAATGACAGGCCACGGCGCCTTCATTCTCTGTGAACAGGACGGATGCAAAGTGGCCAAAGCGTATTATAGCGTTTTCAAGCTCCCATAGGACGAGGGTCGAGTGGAGACGAGACAGGAAAACAAGCGAGCGCTTTTATTCTCCTATCGAAACCACACAAAAGATCTTCACACACATAAGGGGACCGACGGAACACGACTCACAAAGCTACACAGGACACTAAACCTACTATAACACTATTCACATCCGCAGGGTCAGCGGCTGGTCATCGTGCTGACCCTCAGACCCCCCCGGCTACAGCTCCCAGCCTGCTTCGCGGTACCCTGAGCGCCAAGGTGCGCTTCCTCCTCACCACCCGGCGAGGGCGCTACCACATAAATAGTTTAAGTAGGTTGCTGCGTCAGCAAGCGTAGGCTGCAAAGGAACAAGTAAAGGTTTATTCCTTTCTGAAATAGTGGAGGAAAAAACAAAGTTTCGGCTGTGGAGCCTTCTTCAGGTGTGTCACTTCTCTTCTGTGTTTCTTTTTTTTTTTCAGCACGGAATAAACCTTCACTCG